GTTAAAGAGCAAAGATGTCAGTTGAGGCCTGACGCAAGCCAGGATATTTTCAATTGTCTTACATGCATGTGCAAGTTGACCACTGAATAAGGAGGAGGGTAAAAGAATTGATGTCTTTGAATTATGGTGTTGGTGATTAATATTGAAAGTACCATGGACTGCCAGAAGAAGAAATAAATTTGTCTTGGAAGAAGTTCAGCTAGAATACTCCTTAGAAGGGAAGATGGAGAGACTTGGTCTCATGTTCTTTGGAAATGTTGTCAGGAGGGATCAGTCCCTGGAGAAAGACATCATGCTTGATAAGGTCAATGAAAAAGAGGACAATCTCCCCAATAAAATGGGTTGACACAGTGGTAGCAGCAATGGGTTCGAATGTAACAATTGTAAGGATGGCGCAGGACCAGGCAGTGTTTTGTTCTGTTGTGAGTAGGGCTGCTATGAGTTAGAACTGATTTGACAGCATCTAACAACAACAACAAAACAACTTCCCAGCAGAAGCAGAGGAGCCTTGGTGGCACACTGAGTTAAGCATTGGGCTGTTAACCACAAGGAAAGTGATTCAAACTCACCAAAGGCTTCTTGTAAAGATTTAGCCTCATAAAACCCCATGGGAGCAGTTTTCTCTCATATCCTATAGAGTTGCTATGAGTCAGAATCAACTCGACAGCATCAACACAGTGCGTCTGGGTTTTGGTTCTTCCCAGCAGAAAGGGACTCGGACAAATTCAGAGAAAACAAGGAGGAGTGTCCACTGGCATTAGAGAGGATAGGTTGACAGCCTTTTATTGTGCTCTTCAGATCAAGTCCCTGGAGACAGAGAATTTGCAGCTGGAATTGATCATTACTGTGGACACTCTGCAGTGGGGAAGATGGGCCTAAGGGTTTCCTCACATCGATCAGAGAGTCTTGGAGACATCTGCCTCAGCGGTTCAGAGAGATGGAAAACCGGAATCTAGGACTTAGCCACAGGTGCGGAGAGAGCTCCCTCTCTGAGCTGCCTGGGATTGCACCCTTGTTTTCACCCCGGGTGGACTTGAGTGTAGGTTAGACATAGTCTTTCTTATCCAGGCGGAGTGGCTTGGGAAGCAGACGGGAGAGGGACGCAAGATTATTAGAGAGGGAACCAGCCATGTTGAAAACCTGGATATGACCCAAGGAGCTTTGCTGGCACAGTGGGCTAAGCATTGGACTGCTAATAGAAATGTTGGTGGTTCAAACCCACTGGTCACTGCACAGGAAAAAGATGAGGCAGTCTGTTCCCATAAAGACTGACAGGCTCAGAAACCCTAAGGAGCAGTTTGACCCTGTCCTGTAGGATCTCTATGAGTTTCAATAGACTCAATGGCAGTGGGTTTGGGGTTTGGGTTATGTACCTGGGTTTCATTGGGGAGCAGGTTAGAGGTCAGCACTGCTCCCTAGAGACCATAGAGTGGACAGAGGGAAAGTTGGCACCCATAATACAGACGTTACTTCCTCCTTCATTTTGCTACAGCCAGTTGCAGTCATAGAAAACAGGCCTTTCTTGATAGAGTCCTGCTGCAGACCACCCAGTGAGTGGACCTCCACTGACCACCTGATAAAGCCCAGAGAGGTCTGGCCGGCCCCTGCCTACTTCCTCAGTCCTTTTCTTGTCTGTTGATATACTTCCTGCTTCAGCTACATTAACTAGCCAAGCACCAAGTCTTTGCCCAAACTCTACCCAACTTGAGGATGCCCAGGACTCTGACCCAGGTCCTCCAAATGGTCCTTCCATTCAGACCTTCCCTGACCTGAGGTGTCACCCCACCATCACCCCCACTGCAGACATCCACCTCTCTGTATGGAAAGTGTTTGTTGGGTTCTTTCTCCCCCAGGGGAATCATAGTCTCTTCACCCCTGTGTCTCCAGCACCTAATACAGGGCATGTTGCACACCAAGGACTAAGTTAAAATTGGATGAAATGAGTCATCAGTTTTTTTAAAAATGATCATTCATAGAACGTACATCCTGCACTGAAACACCTTGTCTATCCTCCGAGGCCTTCCATTCCAAAGTCCTGCATGAGGAAGTTGTGAGCCTGAGTTCAAATTCCACCAGTACCACCTCCTGACTGAGTAGCCATGACCTCAGCTGCCTCTGCTGTGAAATGGGGATCATCCCGCGAGTGGCTCGACTCTGTCTCAGATGGAGGCTCTGTAACCTCTTCATGTCCTGCATATTATGTTGGGACAGGGATTTACAGGCGTGTGGTCAAGGGCACAGGCTATTTTTGTTTCCGGAACACTAACTATCCAGTAGGCACCCACCCAATCAGTGTGCTTCACTGGACAAGTGTCCTTGCATCAACAAGCCCGTCTTTAAGAGCCGTGTTTAAGAGACACATGTGAAATACCACTAAGGCCTCCGTTCTGCACATGTGACTGTGAGTTGCCTCTGCCACCGCCGTCCAGTGTCTACAACAATATTGACCTTTCGTGGCCATCAGCCTTGTCTTATTCAGTCCTGAGGTCTTAACTGCTTTGCACACAGAACCTGCCAGCTTGCCCATCCAAGCACGTGCTCATGGATAATTCATAGCTTATCGCACCGCCCGGCAAATGAATATTTATCAGCTTTTTCATAAAAGGCAGGATAGTGTTTCCTCTCGTGGCGACCCAAATTCTATGCTGCAGCAAATGAAATTTGTGAGCAAATAAAGGAAAAGGATAAGCAGAGACAAACACTCCCAACCAAGTCCATTCTGCTTGTAATTTTCCATTTTCCCCAGGCCTCCAACATGGAGCGGGTGGTTTCGGTTTGGTTACAGCCGAGAACTGCTGAGTCACACAGAATACCAGAATTTGAGCGTTTCCATATGCTGCACCCACAGCCCTACAGGAAACTCCCCTACACACCCCTCAGCACTGTCTCAGCTACTGAGGAGCCCTGACTCTTGGGTCAATGACCAAGTTTGGGGGTGGTACCCAGGATAAGGAACCTTAAATGAAAACGGGCACATAAAGTGGGTAGTGGAAGCAAGCCTGCTTCCAAAGTGAGAAGACCACCACCAGCGAGGGGTCACCCTGTACCACCCTACACCCTAGCCGCATCTGATGACCCCTCCCCACCATGGGTCAGCTGGGAGGCAGATGGAGCTCTGAGTCCCACTACAGAAAAGAGCAGTGTTTTCTCTTCTAGCCTATATGTGACTCTGGTTACAGTGACGTTTCAACAGGCCTGTGAAGATAGAGACTGTGAAATTGTTTGCCTTCACCCTGGACCTGCAACATGATGCTGGTGCTGGTGCTGATATTGATGTTGATGGGGAGTAAATAAATACTGAGCCCTGAATTTGTGCCAGGCTCTGTGTCAAACACATCAACTATATTATAACATGCAATACTCAAAACACATCACTGAATTCATCATTATTCCTATTCCCACTTTACAGATGAGGAAACTGAGGCAGAAAGGTGAAATAACTTACTGAAGCTCACCCGCCTCCAATTGGGAGTTGAATTCAGGTCTGTTTAACCCTGGGCGTTTGCTCTTTTAACTGGAGGTCAGCCCCATGACTGCCTGGCTGTGTAGCTTCAGGGAAATCAATTCATCTCTAAAATAATCTGTTTTCTCATTTATTAAAGGGGTGGAATCACTCTCACTGTACAGATAGTTTGAGGATGTCATGGAACTTTGAAAACTCCAAAGAACTCTGTAGTCATTGGTCAGCTCCTGGCCATCCTCCAAAGAAACACTTAGTGTTTGACATTCTGGATAAAGCCATGGTTCCTGTCCTCCAGTGGAAGTCAGAGAAAGGAGATCAATGGGCAGAAATACAAGTTTGTATTCATTTAGCAAAAATTCATTGAACACTTACTAAGAATACCTATAGAGCATCTAAGTAAGTCCAGGTTGCGATAAGTGCTGCATGAATATTAGAACAAGGTGATGTCCATTCTGAGACCAAAAGAACTAGATGGTGCCCACTACCACAACTGACCACTCTGAAAAGGATCACAAGAGGTCCTGGTGTGAGTGGGAGAGAAATGTGAGACAAAACTCACAATCATAAAAAAAAAACAGGCTTACTGGTCTGATGGAGACTGGTGGAACCCCCAAGACTATAGTCACCCCCTTAGTCACTCTTCAGGTCTAGAACTGAACTCACCAGCTAGCTCAACTTTCAACCCAACAAACACAGGCCTATAGGTGAGCAGTAACACCAGGGAGGTACATACGAATTAAAACAAACAACCATCTGTGATCAAAAGGGCAGCACTCCTCAGGGATAAAGTTCAGAAGACAGGAAGGAATAGGGAAAAAAGTATGAATGGAAATGAAAAACACAGAGAGGAAGTGAGAATACTGTTGCATCTCAGGGCCTAAGGTCAATGTCATGAAGCAAAATAGGTATAATTATTGAATGGAAAACCAACTGCTCTGTAACCTTCACTTCAGCCACAATAAAAAGTGAAAAACAACAGCAACAACAAGGTGAGGCGAATAAGAATACATAGCACTTGAACCAGGATCTGCAAAACAAGATGGCGTCCGCCATGAAGCGTTGGGGAAAATGGATTCCAGACAAAGCTCCTGAGAGGACATTTTCAAGATGGGACCCACTAGGAAACCCTTCTAAACATTTCAGACCATGAAACCGTCTTTCCATAAACCATCTCTGGGTGCTGCTGCCAAATGCAACACCCTTTGGCAATGGCAGCTTTGCATCTTGTATGGGACTCTTCTAACTGGGCCATGTTCTTCTTGTGTCTATATTCTTTTTATTTTCCTACACTTCCTCACACAGGGTTTCAGAGGAGTCGTTCTGGGTTGGAAGTGTCTTAGGTGACATTAAGGGGGTATAATTTGGAGTAGGGGGTTGGACTGAACCTTATACCACCCTTAGCATTGCCCCCAAGGCCTAGCTCTCTGATTCCTGTGGTCCAGATGCACCCTGGAACAATCCCCTATGGACCTCAGACCATCAGACATGTGTCCATGAAGCAAGAACCTTCACCCTCCTCCAGGCCCCCTTCACATACCTTCCTCTCATCTATTCCCTCAGAGGTTGACATGAGCGTCTTCATGAGTGGAGGGTCCAGAACCTGGAACTGCCGGCGGAACTGAGCAAGGCCCATGTGGTCAGCAAAGCCTGGGAGGTGAGAGTGGGCAGGAGAGGAACAAGGAGTCCAATGAGAAGACCCAGACTAGGGCCCTGGACCTGCAGGAAGGAGGTCAGAGCCCCACTGCCAGTCTTTTGAGTGGACTTAATTCTTGAGGTCTTGATTGTCTCATTTGCTAATTTAAGGGACTACACTCGATCAGCATTTCTGTGCCCTAGAATGCAAACCCAATTAGATGCTCCAATAAAAGTTTGACAAGGATGCAGATGGATCCGCGTCTTTTTTTTTTTTTTTTTTTTTAATGGATTGAGCACACATCACCATTTACCTCTGTCCCATTTAGCCCATGCAAACCTGTCTCAGTGTTCCCCTATCTACCTTGTTCTTCTACCCTTCCCCCTTCTTGTGTACTGCCCTCCCCAACACCCGAACTATGATGTGTCTGCCCCCTACCCTGTGCTCTACTGTCGCCTCCCTCCACCTCCCCTAAAATTCCCCACCCTTCCCCCACCAGTAACCAACAAAGTTTTTTTTTTTTCCATTTTAGTATGGATATCTTTTCTTAAGCTTTCACAAAAACGGTCTTATGCAATATTTGTCCTTTTGTGACTGACTAATTTCACTCAGCATAATGTCCTCAAGGTTCATCCATGCTATGTGGTGGCTTACAACTTCCTTGTTATTCTTCAAAGTAGCATAATATTCCATTGTGTGTATGTACCACAGTTTGTTCATCCATTCTTCAGTTGATGGGCACTTAGGCTGTCTCCATCTTTTTGCTATTGTGAATAGTGCTGCTATGAACATTGGTGTGCATATATCGATTCATGTTATGGCTTGTATTTCTTGTGGATAAATTCCAAGTAGAGGAATTGCTGAATCATACGGTATTTCAATTTCCAACTTCCTGAGAAAGCACCATACTGTTTTCCAGAGTAGTTGGACCATTTTGCATTCCCACCAGCAATGTAGGAGGGTCCCAGTCTCTCCACATCCTCACCAACATTTATTGTCCTCTGTATTTTTGAACTTCACTGTTATTGCTGGTGTGAGATGGTATCTCATTGTTGTTTTGATGTGCATCTCTCTAATGACTAATGTAGCTCTGGTAGCGTAGTGGTTACGAATCGGGCTGCTAACCTGAAGGTCAGCAGTTCGAAACTACCAGTGGTTCTGCGGGAGAAAGATGAGGCGTTCTGCTCCCGTAAAGATTTATAGCCTCGGAAACCCTGTGCAGAGTCACTATGAGTCTGAACCAACTCCACGGTACTCAACAACAACAATGACTAATGTAAAGCTGTTTGAACTGCAAGGTTGGTGGTTCAAGCTCACCAACTGCTCCTCAGAAACACCATACGGGTTGCTATGGGTCAGAATTGACTCGATGGCACTTAACAACAATAACAATGGCTAATGATCGTGAACATTTCTTCATATGTTTGTTAGCTGCCCGAATCATCCACCTCTTAAGAGGCCACAGTGCACCAACACTAAGGGCTCCGAGGACATCTTCAGGAAGACATCTGATCAGTCTGTTAGTACTGAGTTTCCCACACCTGTTTGAACCTGGAAGCTTTCTTTCACTTTTATATTTTGGAGTCTAATGATAAGCATTAGACTGCTAACTGCAAGGTTGGAGGTTCAAAATCACCAGCTGCTCCTTGGAAACCCTATACAGGGTCACTATGGGTCAGAACAGACTTGATGGCACTTAACAACACCACAGAGCAGCAGCATCGAGTCTAGATTGAGTGACTTCTACCTCTGTTTTACAGGTGTAGACATTGAAACTCAGAGAGGTGAATCACCCAATCACACCTGGATTTCAAGCCCTGCCAGTGACAATTAACAGCCCAACCAAGAGAAGCTCTGGTGTGGCGCTGTGGACTAATGTGTCAGACTGCAAAGTCGTTTGAACAGCAAGGTTGGTGGTTCAAGCTCACCAGCTGCACCTTGGAAACCCTATACATGGTCACTATGGGTCAGAATTGACTTGACAGCACTTAACAACAACAAGAGAAGCCAGAAATCAGCAGGGACTAAGTCTCAGTGTTTGGATTTTACCCCCAGGAATAGTGGGACAAGGAGCATGGTAGATCCTCAGTTATAATAGAAACAGACCCCTTCAGTGGCTGGATGGGCGAATACACTGGTGAAATCTCACTCCAGATTTGTGATTTCACTTCCCAATAAGTCAAATGCATAAACCACAAGGAAGGATGAGTGTGAGTGTATATGACTAATCCAGGAGGCCTGCCTAGAGGAAGAGGAGGGTCTTCAGCCAGGTTCAGAAATCTGACAGCACAGATAGGGGAGTTGGGAGGTTACAACCCCTGACTTTGGGCTCAGATTGAATCTGGTTTCATGACCTAAGTGCTCCCTTTATAAACCCCATGGTGAGGTGGGGGAAATGGTCCCCATCTCCTTGAGCTTCAATGTCTTGCTGTCCTGTGAGTCTAAGGAGGTTTACTCTCACACAGTCATGAGGGGAGTATTAAATTCGATGATGATGATAGGAAAGGTGGCTAATGGGTCAGACATTCTAAACATTGCCTCATTGACTCCTCCAGCCCTTATCTAGAGGCATGCCTGGGAGGTGCTCAGCTGTCATAGGTAGAGACCAGAGGTGAGCTCTGACCACCGGGAAATGTAATGGTGGTGGTAGTGGTGGTGGTGTGCCGCGGAGTCGATTCTGACTCATAGTGACCCTGTTTATGGTTTCTGAAGCTATAAATCTTTACGGGAGCAGAAAGCCTCATCTTTCTCCCACAGAACAGCAGGTAGTTTGGAACTGCTGACCTTGAGGTTAGCAGCCCAACTCATAACCGCCATGCTACCAGAGCTCCTTAGGTAATGTAATAGGTGATGTTCAATGAGTGTTTACCATCTGCCAGGCATGGGGCTAACTGCTAAAGGCTTGGTGAGAATAACCTCTTTTAGGATCTGGAATTACAGTGTCTAGCATGCTCACAGATTATGTGTGTACGGTGCATATATTTTGTTGTTGTATGCCAAGTTGATTTCCAGCCCATGGTGATCCTGTCTGACAGAGTAGAAATGCTCCATAGGGTTTTCTAGGCCATAATCTTTATAGGAGCAGATTATCAGGACTTTTTCCCACCTAGCTACTGGGGTGGTTCCAACAGCCAAACGTTTGATTAGTAGCTAAGCACTTAACCATTTACCACAGGCCTCCTTATGGCTCTTGGTTGTAGTTGCCATCAAGTCAGTTCTGACTCATATAGACCCTGTATAGGTTTTCCAAAGAGTAGTTGGTGAGTTTGAACTGCCATCCTTGAGATTCAAACCGACCTTATGGTCAAGTGTTTATCCTATGATGCCAAACCAGGATTCCTTGTGGCTCCTTAGCTCTTCAAAATTTGTGAGAAAAGTTCATTATCTTTTCATTCTGTTTTTCTATGAGCTTTTTGAAGCACCCTCACATATATTGTTGTTAAAGTACCATCAAGTTAGTTTCCAACTCAAAGAGACCCCATATAGGCTTTCCAAGGTTGTAAATCTTTACAGGAGCAGCAGAAAGCCTCATCTTTCTTTCGTGGAGCGACTGGTAGATTCAAACATCTGACTTTGCAGATAGCAGTCCAGCTTGTGCTCCACTATGCTATCAGGGCTCCTGCATGTGCAAACACTTAAAATCATAACTATTTAATATGTGTGTGTGTATCTGTGTATGCATGTGGAGCAGGGACCACAGGAGATAAACTAGGTCTGGTAAGCAGAGATAGGAGCATTCTACCTGGGAGACATCAACCCTTCACTTAGTTGGGAAGCTCATTCTGACAAAGGAGGGGTTGAGCCACAGTAAGGACGGGAGGCCCTAGCAAGGGGGTGCTCTGACCCCAGCAGACACCAGTGACTCTGACCATCTGGGATAGGTTCAGGGCACCTGCAAAGGCCCCGCACAACCTGCCATCCAGCAGCCAGAATCGATTTAGCTGGGGGCAGAGCCAAAGCTGTGACATTCTGTCTTCCTCCTCCCCTTGCAATGCAGGTGAGAAAGAAAATCAATGAGATGCTGGGAAGAGAGAGGGTCTCATTCATCTTGGCTTCCAGCCACCCTATGGCAAGTACCTCCTGCCTGGGGTCCTACTGTTAATGAGATGGGAGGAGATGGAGCACTGGCCACAGGCTGGGGTGTCAGGCATGCACGGACATTAAGCAAGAGGGTGCCCACCTGAGAAGCCCCATCCCTGTGGAAAAAATGGCTGTGCCTGAGTGCTTTCTCACTGCCAGGGAGGGGACTGATGTGGCAGCCCCCAGGGACTAACAGGCAGAAAAGAACAGAAAGGAATAAGATCAAATTCAACTCATAGGATGAGCTAATAATGCAAACCTCACGTGCATGCTTGCTTTCTAACATACAGACCCAAAGACTGTATTCCTTTGATTACAAATCCTTTATCCTTCTGATAAAGGGGTCCCTAGGTAGTGCTACAAGGTTGGCGGTTCAAGCCCACCAGCTGCTCCTTGGAAACTCTATACAGGGTCCCTGTGAGTCAGAACTGACTCAAAGGCACTTAATAATAACAACAGGTAATACAAAGAGTTAAACATTCTGCTGCTAAATGAAAAGTTGGTGGTTTGGATTCATCCAGAGGTGCCTTGGAAGAAAAGCCTGGTGATACACTTCTGCAAAGTCAGCCACTGAAAACCTTATAAATCACAATTCTTTGACACAAAAGAGCTCATCCTGAGTCTGAATCGACTCAATGGTAATGGACTTTAAAAATTTTTTTATCTGTACTCCATTATCTTCCAAGCTAAACTATGCTGCTGCTGTTGTTTTTAGGCGTCTCTGAATGGGTTCCAACTCATAGCAACCCAGGTAAAGCAGAAGGAAACACTGCTCACTTCTACACTATCCTCACAGTTGTTGTTTTGTTTTATCCCACTGTGATAACCATTGTGTCAATCCATCTCATTGAGGGTCTTCTTCTTTTTCACTGACCCTCTACCAACCATGGATCCTTCTCCAGGGACTGAGCTCTCCTGATCACATGTCCAAAGTACATGAGACAAAGTCTCACAGTTCCCATTTTTAAGGAGCGTTCTGGTTGCACTTCTTCCAAGATAGATTTGTTTGATCTTCTAGCAATCCAGGGCATATGCAATATTCTTCATCATCACCATAACTCAAAGGCATCAACTCTTCTCCTGTTTTCCTTATTCATTGTCTGACTTTCACATGTACATAAGGCCATTGAAAATACTATGCCTTGGATCAGGCACACCTTAGTCCTCAAAGTAACATCTGCTTTTTAACGCTTTTGCAGCAGATTTGCCCAATGCAAAACATTTTCTTTTTTTTTTTTTTTT